AAGAAATTTTTAATAAAATGATTTCGGAAAAGGAACGTGTATCCTTTGCGTCGTTATCGGTTAATTAACTCGAAATGTATATAATGTAGGTAAGCAATTTTTTTATACCAATTGCTATACGGGTACGAGCAAAAGCAATAATATGATGTTAATTTTATCCTGATCAGTATCACCAGATGCGCTCATATTCTTTTATTTTTAATCCGATAAAAATCATTTGTAAAAAGCAAATACAAAATGCTTACAATTAAACTTACAAAGAAGTTGTCACCACCAGTAGCATTATAAATGGAACAAGGCTGCCAACGATATTGCTTTAGAAATGAATATCGATCACAGAATGGTATTAATTCATTTAAAAGCTTGGATATCGATATCGACATTGGTATGCAATAATACTAGCCTATGAGAAGAAAGATTAATGTAAGCAAAAAGTAAGCGAAACATTCTTAGAAAATTATTACAAATGACCAATGATACGTATTACTTTTACCAGAATCGTTTTTTCGATCTTTACCTAGAGAAATTTTTGAGTCTGACCTCTATTATCACAAGCTGTTAGGATCAAAGTAAGCGATTGAAACAAAACTAGACTTGATCAGCAGAAAGGTTCGTCATGATAACATGAGATCACACAAGAGACTTTGTATTTAGTACAAATTTATAGAAATTGAATAATTAGTACGGTACACCATCTAGCCTTGACCTTGCAATTTTTGATAGTATACAGACATATCCACCTGTTTTGATCGCTTTAAGACTCTTTAATCGCAACGTAAAGAGAGGATTTTAAAGCAAAACGACATACATATATTTATTATTATTGGGGGGTATCAATATAGTTTTCTCATCTGGTTGGGTTCTATAATATATAATTATAAATGGAAATGAAAAGATAAATATACATAATTATCAACAAAATTTAATAAATATTATATTATTATTATTATTAATAAGTACTTATTTTTAATAATGCTTGTCTATAAAATATAAAAATGATTATCTAATTGCTTTAAGAGATGTTTAATTGATGTCAATTTATACATAAAATGACGATAAACTAATCCAAATTTTATAAAAAATGAATATAGGCGTAGTAGTTAGGCATATTATATAAAGGTATACCACGATATATTTTGTATGAAAAGTTCTTGAAATGTAAGAAAATGTTTTAGTACACTGCTGCTTTCACGAGTAGACGAGTAGACGAGGTGTTGGTTAATATTGGGGTCGCGACAAAAATACATGGCGGCAACGGATCAGACGGCAGTAGGCGGCAGGCGGCGTACGCGCCGACCGCGCGCAATACTTTACGAATCCATACATATAGGCTCATTTACTGAGCCCGTGCTAAATTTAACCGCTGCGACCAGATAATCTGTATGTTATAAAACATAAATAAGTGAAGAGTTATATTTAAGAGTGATGTGAGAGTCTACAACTAAAACGTGTGAAATTCTTGAATAAATGTGACAGATTAATAATTGAGTCAGTTTTTTTGGATGTCATATAATAACAAATAATAACTTTAAAATTCGAGTCAATCCCTGTGAGTATATGAAATATATTTTTTTTACAGTTTTGTCAAATTGCCAAACAGTTTTCGAGGTTTAAGACCCTTAAAATATATTACTCTAATAATAAACTATCTTTGAAACGATACTGTAAAATAACATTAAAATATATATTGCAGAAAAAATGAATCCACCGTCTGCAATTTACGCTGCAATGAATAAGGAACGCAAGCCATTTACCTACACTCCTGGTGGTTTGGACCTTTCGGAAATAAAATCCGAACGGATGGCGAAACGGTTAATGAGAAATGCCATGAGTCAAGGCGTTCCGGAGCAACCATCATCAAGTTTATATTCACCAGCAGCTCCATCAACAACACTGAATGCACCTAATTTTAATTGTTTGCCTGTTCAAGTATTTCCAACATTTCCTCTTCCAGCAAATCCAAAATCTTTATTAAGAACAAGAAGCAATCCACATAAACAAAATGATCGATTTGAAAATGAAATGCCTTATGAAGAACAATTAACAACGAATGGCACGCAACTTGATTCAAAATTAGGTTCGGAACATAATAATAGCTCGAAATATATTCCATCAAACTTTGAAAAGACTGATCGGTCCATGTCTTTTAATGAACATATCTATAATACACCAAAAGTTTGCACATATTCAAATGCAAATTATGGAAGTAGCGGCTACACAGAAGCACTTTCTCCCAAAACTAATACAACTGAAGGCAATTTATTGAGTTCTCCGGATAATGAGCAACAAAAGTTCATTGATGCCAGTCACGTGAAAATCGATGGCAGCCAAAGTCTTCACATGTCTAAACCGACCCTAAAATTTAATACGGATAGTCAAATACTTCCGACGTTAGCTTCAAACCGTATATCAGAAAAATTGGTCACTGGAACTGAAAATAAGCAGGTGGATGTAAAATCACTGTATATTTGCTATGTGTATATCTATATGTGTGTTTATGTTATCTGTTATACGTATTTGTTATACAGAATTACAGACCTATAAAGAAAATACTGCTCATACATAGTGAGTTCACAAATGTAATCTAATATTATTTTAATTTCGATAGTTTTTTAGTTACAGTTCATCGATGTTTTGGAAAATATTCATTGTTTTTGATTTTGTAATTAACTAATTCCTCGTGGCCTTCAATTGCAACAATAGATTTTATTACGTAGTTAGTAAATTTACCTTATCCCGCCGGAATTTACTCCTGAATGAAGGTATTTTCAAATTGCAGCATTTAGAGTTATGGGATATTGAAACGTTTGCGAAGGCGGATTTGTTTATAACATACACTTGCATTATAATGCTTCCATCACCAAAAGTCTGTGTTATTTTTTTTAATTTGTTATTGTAATTTGTTTATCGCTAGAGCTTCGTTCCTGAACTAACAACTTACATGGCGTGCAGAAAAAGTTAGTATTTAAGAAAAAGGTTGGACATTGGTAGAGCCTTACTGCAGCTATATTAGTTGTATAGTTGTAGCACGAATGGGTCGGCTCGACCGGGAAAAGACTGTTGTGTTTCGTATGGTGAGTGTAGAGAACCGGACACCATTTTTACTGGAAAGGAGGCATTCCATCTTAGTCCTCACGGGTGACAACGCTTTTGCATTTTGATTCATAATCGATGTTGGTTGTAGATGTCTATGGACTGCAGCAACCATTTACCATCAGGTGGTGCGTGGTGCTGCGTGCTCGTTTGTGAACTTCTCCTATAAAAAAAACGAATACTATTAATCTTCCTCTGTCTGATATATATATTTTGCTACAGTCGAATAGAAGATCGAATGCAATACATATTATGACATGACAAAAACCACCATTTACATTTTGCACAAAGATTTGTTTCTGGTATTTCGAATTTAATCCAAAATAGGCCTTTCGCGTTGTAGAGAGAATTTACTTCCTTCGCTACACTTGGTAAGCGAATTAATGATCGCAGCATCAGAGCGACTCTGACGCTGCTCTGTATGGTCAGTCTGGGCATTTTACATATGGCCTAAATGGAATAATTAATTTTTCATTTTTCACTGAAAATGTAAGGCCAAAAAATAACTGTTCCTGGTCTGGGTGTTGGTATATGTGCAATTTATTTATGTGATATTTACGATACAGGAGAAGCTCTCAGCATAAAAATATAGTTTTTTAAGCTGTATATATATACTATATATATATATATATATATATATATATATATATATATATATATATATAGATGAGATATAAAAGATATTATAATAATAAAAGTTTTAAGAGATTTTTTTTAAAAAGATTACTACAATAAATATTTTTGTTAGTGAGGGTGTCGTTCGTTTATTAGTCGATTTTCTAAGAACTATGATTGCCAAAAAAGAAACAACGACCTTTTGTAAATGATTCGCTCCAAAAATTAGGCTTTATCTATATATATATATATATATATATATATTTTTTTTTTTTTATATATATATATATATATGTCTTTGTTTTTTTGCAAACATAGTTCTTAGATAATCGAATAAGAAACGAACGACACCCTCTCTAACAAAAATATTTATTGTAGTAATCTTTAAAAAAATCTCTTAAAACTTTTTTTTATATCTCATCTATATATAAGAGGATGTTTGTATATATGAACGTTGAACGTTATGATCATAAATGATCATAACGTTCAATATATATTTGATCAAGCACCATGAAAATTGGTATGTATTTTTCAATGGAGAAGTTTATATTTATAAACAATTTTTTTTATATTTAAGCTTTTTAAATCAAGCGCAGCAATTAATAATTTAAATTGTATGCGCTAAAATAAAAATTGTTGCTGAATGCAACTTATGATATTAAATGCCAGTACAACGTCAGGGAGGTTCAGCTAGTCTCATATAATATCGCATAACAATTTTTAGATTTCTCTTTTTTACGTTTGAAACTATTTGACTGAAAGGTATATCAACGAAATATCGTTGCATGAAAACATATATTTTAGATAATGATATTTTTTCTCTAAAAACATAATTAATACAAATCTCTAAGCTTTATTGTTTGGATCATATGAAGTTTACTATACTGGTTCATGTCTTCTACGAATTTAGTGAATCAGAAATTATTATCAATAGATTAATTATGTGTCGTTTAGTGGCATAGAAGAACCCATCACTCCATTTTATTTGGATTTAGTAAGCGGTGACTAAAGGATAGCCCGGAATGAGTTTGTGACTTTTGATGAATTTTACAGTGGCGATATAAACATCTCGTTAACGCCAGATCTTAATACACTGAACGGCCAAAGGTAGGAACTTCAAATGTGCGAGCCGTCTAGTACTGCGGCCGTTAACCCGCCTGCCAAGCGTAACAATTAAGGCAAATCCTTCCTACAACAGGATAGGCCTATGGTCAACAGTTGATTTTTTCAAGCTGATGGAGATGAAAACGAAGAAGAAGTATGTTACTTACATAATAAAAACTATTTTTCAGAAAGAAGAAAAAGTCGTCAAAAAACAAACAAACACGGGTAAAGTAACCGAAGAACAAAATGGCGATACGAATGTTGAGGCTGCGGTAACTGTTAAATTGCCTGGGAAAAAAACATCAGCCAAAACGGAAACTAAAGTGGAAGTGGTAAAAAAGGAGTTACCGGATGGTTCTGTTGAAGAAGTAAAAACAACTACGACAAGAACCACAATTGATGGAAAGACAGAAATAACAACAAAAACGGAGACAACAATCATACCCAAGGAAGATGATCTAGAAGAGGAGGAGATTGTAGAAGAGGAAGAGGAAGAAGAAGAAGAAGAATTAGAAAATAATGGTAATGAACTAGTTCAAAAGGGATTGGAAGGAAATGTCGAATTACATGAAGAAGAACAAAAAATAAACAAAGAACCTATCCAAAATATTATTAAACAGAAAGAGACTTCAGAAACTAGTATAACAGAAAATGTTACTGTTATTAAGTCTACAGAAAGTCAAAACGATTCAGAAGAGGAAATAGAGGAAGAAGGAGAAGAAGAAGAAGAAGAAGTAGAAGAAAATGAAAACGTGGAAGTAACTGTTACACAAAAAGAAGTAGAACCAATTTTGCAAAAGAAAACAGACATTGATGATAAAATAAAGTCAGAAGCAGGTGATGAAGACGAAGAAGAAACAAGTGACAAAGATGAAGAGGTATGTTTAACAACTCAAGAAAATAATATAATGAAAAGTCAGACATGTGGGAAAGAAAAAGTTGAAGAAGTAAGAGAAATAGACAAAGTTAATGATATTTGTGAATCAGAAGAAGAAAATGAAAAACTTCCATTACAAGATAATATAAGTAAAGACATTTCACTAGAAGAAAAGGAAAAGGAAGAAGTATCGGAAGAGAAAGATGATATTATAAAAGAAAAATTAATAAGAGAATCAGATCCAGCAAATATAAACGAACAAACTAACGCAAGTAATAATGAAACTGTAAAAGAAGCTACAAGTCCGACTCAAGAAAATAAAGAAGAAACTGTTATTGAGGTCCAAATATTGAAGCCAGAATTATCGACGAAAGAAGAAACAAAACCCGAAGTATCAAGTGATCTGAAGGACAAAGAAGATAAACCAACACTGCCGACAGACAGGAACATTCCGTTAAGAGAACCATCAGTTCCTCTTGAAAAGGTGGAAGAGGTAGAAATTAAGCCTATTGGCCAAATAGTTTCGAAGTCTCACACTGAGAATACTGAGATCATCACAACTTCCATTGACAAACCAACAACAGGATTGAGTACACAAACTGAATACAATAGAATAGAAAATATAGTTACAGTGAATCGCACGACTAAAACATTAGATCAAGCTTATGAACAAATTTCTCAGCACGGGGTTCCCACAGTTAAGACCTATTTTGCACCAAATGATAGACCGTTAATTTCACCTCAATCTACTCGATCTCATCAGTCACCTTACCCTTCAGAACCTCAAGGTGAACGAAGACATAGTCTCTTACTTGATCGTCTTAGTGTCGATCGCCAAATACCACCAACAGAACTATATCAGAGTAACTATCAATATGGTAATCAGACTTATGAACAAAATATTTCTTCGCAAGAGCCCCAGTCAGAGGTATTAACAGTAAGCAATGTTAAACCTAGTTCTATTACAAAAAATCAGCAATGGTATCAAGAAACAAAAAAGGATGAAGTTACTTACAATAATACAGCTCCTTCTCTTAATGTGCCTTCCCAACAGTGGAATTTAAAACAATCTCATCCACAGTCACAGCCCCGACCACAGTCACAGCCCCAGCTTGAATCTGCATATCAATCTTCATTGCAATTACAGTCACCCTATGCACAAAATACACAAGATACGTATAGGACAAACTTAAACACATTAAGTAGTTATCAACAACATTCATATCCAAGCTATACACAAAAACCAATGCGAGCAACTCCTAGCATAAACAAACAATCAAATCAATTTTCCTATATAGAGAAAGCCACACCAGAAAGTTATCAAAGACCATCACAGCAATTTTCATCTACTTATATTCCACCTCCGTGGGAACAAGATCCTAATTATGTTGCGGATAACATAAATCATACATTATATTCTCCGCAAACAAGCAATACATTTACCAATAGTGCTAATCAAACATGGACACCACCTACAGCAAGTACATTTTCAAAGCCAAAGCCAACATCGTACATACCACCTGCACCGAATCAGTCATTTGTTAAGCCAGTAACTACTGTGGACCCTCCTAAGATGCCAGGACGCAAAACTTACTACAGTGAATATGAAAGACGTTATATATCGGTGCCAGAAACTACTTATATCCCTACCGAAAATAAGTTCCAAGCGCAACCTAATCCATCACCTCAATACTATTATGACAATTATGAACCGGCAGAGACAGTTGAGCATGAATGGCGAAAAGAACTTAGAGAGTTTTCTGAAAAAACCCAAACTCAAAGCCAATCTGAGAAAACATTAGTAAAACCTCCCTGGGAAGAAGATCCAAAGTATTATGTTCCTAAAGTTACTACAGAATATACCCCTACTCCTACATGGAGTCAGACTTTACGACCTAATTCAGGTCGCGAGAGGAGTTTTGAATCGGAATTTGTGAGATCACAAGAATTGCCAAAGACAAATACATTAGGACGAGGAAGGCCCCAAAGCTCATATGTAAAAAGTAACGTTTCTACACCAATTCTGGAAAGACCTCGCGGAGTATCAGTGGATAGATACAACCCAAACAATTATAAGTCTCCAACGCCATCAGAATATCCTCCAGTTCAGAGTCACACCCTAGACCCATCAATTGGCCCCAAAACATACCATAATCCAAATGTGCCTGTTTATCACGCACGAGCCTCAGCTGAACCTAGGTAAGACATAATGGATAATGATTAAATATAGAATTAAGGAAACTTTATTTTCCATTTATAAATATAACGTTAAATAATAACTGATGACCCTACTTACACCTAATTACTTAAACGTCCTCTTTATTGCCTTTAAATAAAAAGAGAGAGCAACTTAAGCATTACCTAATTTGAGTCGACGTTATGAGTAAGGCCGTTAATGTATGAATAGCTCCAGTGTTGAAATTTTGTATATTATTTCTAACACGTAACAGTATTATGGACAATATGTTATTTTTCAGAGAGCAAGTTTTCCCGCAAACAAGGCAATGGGGAGAAGCACGGGCTAGCCCCATTCAATCAAGATCTTTCAAATATCTACAGTGGATTACTGGAACTGAAGATTGAGCTTAGAGTGAATCAATTTTTAAATATAAGTCATATTTTAGGAATGAAGTTAAGAGAAAGATAAGTATTTATTAAATAAAAAGAGATTTTCATTTTTAAAATTTTCGATATTTTTGAAAAGAGAACATTTTCGGTATGTATATTTCGTGTCTTCTTCTTATTAATCTTATAATTAATAAGCTTGTTGAAGTATTAAAAAAGTTGAATATTGATCAGAATTGTCAAAATAAAATGCTTCCCTCTAAGGAAATATAAATATGAAAGCAATTCTCCAGTGTAGAACTAAAATCAATATATTACGTACCTTTTAAATTTACCCCTTTACTTGTATTGTACTTGTATGATTTAGAGGCATTGTTGCAATGTGATATTTTTGTATACTTAATTTGCTAACCTAGTCATGAGAGGCTAATATAATATTATCATAAGCCTCGAGTAAGAGGAAAACTAAACATTGTGTTTCTAATTTCGTACTTCATTTATTTTCATTTATTTTGGCATTGCGTTAATATTAGATCATCCTCGTGTACAATGACACATACCGACTTTTATTAAATTAAAAACGTGCTATGTGCATTTTTGTACATGTTTCTGCCAAATCTGTAACATAATACGATAAAAAAACTTTATTCAAATTAATATTAATTCTTAACATCACAGATATATTTTGTACTTAAGTTATTGTTAAATGCATGGTCCATTATGTTGTAACAGTTCAAACATTTTATATGTTATTTGTGAAATTATTGTTGAGTTTTATATAATAAAGACTTAATAAAGTGTTCGTTCATTAGTATAAATTATGACGATGGATTAGTATTCAGAACAGGGGTACTTCGTGTTTGTAATCACATGCGGCGACTTATAGAATACAAATTATAGATTTTCGGGCGAAGGTACAATAATAATTGGATTAAATAATAATTGTTCCTCTGTCCAATACAAAATCCGATTCGCAAACCATATTTAGTACTTGATACAGAGGTGTGTCTCTGTGTTTACCCGTTCGTACACACATACATACATAAACACTTACGCCCGTCACGCTGGCACGATCCTGATACACGACTCTGTCTTCCTTTACATCCAATACTTACACATACATAATCGTCGGTTAAGGGTACTCCTAATTTGAACCATCTTCAATATATCGTCAAATTGGTGGATAATCTCAAATATCCGTATGTATATTTGTATATATTCTGTTTAGTTGATAGTTTTTAAAGATATGTGGAAGTTGCTATCGTAGTCAAATTTGATCATTTGATAAATAAAGTAAAAGTAATGTTAGACTGTTCATGCTACAGCTGGGCAGCGGCCTCATCACATTTCTGAGAGAGCCATAGAGCGATTCGTCCGCTGCACTACTCTAGTGTACGTTGGCGGACTTCATATGTCCTCAAAATATTTTATTCGTCGGTCATACAACCAGCATATATGAGTAATAGCTCCTCACAATGTTTTTTCTTACCACCGAACAGGTGAGTAAATAGCACTTTTTAATTTATTAAGTGAATTTATGTTGCGTTACAGTACAATAATGGCATGAAAACATCCAGGGGTTTATCTACGCTAGAGAAAAATCTATGTATTAATATTAAGTTACTACATTAAATTAATACTACAATGTATATGGTTGATTTAAAATATAAGAGTTTGTTCCTGCTGGCGGGGATCAAAGCTAGGTTGCTCGCTTACTGCGGCACTTACTTACGAGCACTTAAACCTTGAGCTACCACGTTTTTGGAAAAAAGATAAATAAAAATAACTGTATAATAAAGATATTATATATAAGTAGTTGGTTTGGCAGAAGTTGTTCTGACCTTTCCAGTAGGTTGCACGATTAGATACAATCTGAATTTACTCCGTTCCAGATTTTGTAATTCTTGTTTTTGGCACGAAACCATTATATAATGTTAATATAGATATTACAATTACACTATGTAGTGGCAGTGTAAGAATATCCACTATCAAATATCGTCCCAAGAATGTCGTAACTGGCGACAGGGGGAAATAAATCAGAAGATGGACAGCGGCGTCTTTACAATAACAGTTAATAATTAGAAACTACGGTTGCCAAACCACCTAACAAGCTTGCTAACTATGTACATATCTTCCTTTGAGAGAATCTTTGAGGGACGCCTATGCCCACTTACCATTAGTTGGACTGTGTGCTCGTCCGTCATCCTTATTCTATAAAACGATGGTAAAGCGTATCTAGGTCAATACATAACCAAAACCTATTCACTCTTGGCTTAATGTTTCAAAAAAATAAAAATGCGTCAAAAGGCACTTAATGGTGTGTGTTACATGTTTATGGTAAAATCGGATTTTTGATTAAAAACCTAGGCTTTACAGCCTATTAAATGTCTACTCCTAAACATTCAATAGTGGACATTTAATAGGCTGTAACCGTTACGGATATTATTATTGGTCCATAAATATAAAATGTATGGACCAATATCACCCTTTTCAATATATAATTTATTTTTAAATATATATTTTATTAATAACTTGACTACAGCACCACTCATCACCATAGAAAACATAATATTGTGTGATTATGATCTCAATCGAACAAGTTATTTAGAGGTTATAGAATCTCGAGCAAGAGCACCAGCAACATAACAAAGATATAAATTAAGTAGGTCTATTTTCGAGATGTTTTTGCTGTTAGTCTATGCGACTCTTACATCTTCATCTGACTCAGGGTTAATATAAAAAAAGGGAAAGGCAATGAACGTGAGGATGATGATGATAATTGTTTATGGTTTGGTATTGTTACTGTTACGAGCTTGAGGTTCGTGACAATAAAAATTGCCGATAAAATTACCTAAATTAACACTTTAATTTACTTTACACAATTAAAGTTAAAACACTAATAATTTAAACACACTAATTCACTTAATTCCACTCCGAAGCTTCGCTTGTTTCGCCCAAATCAACACTGCCTCGATCGCATCTTGCAGCGCCTATATATTTGAATCAGCAAAGAAATATCCAGAATGTTCAAGTAAACACGCGGAAGGCACCGAGCGTTCGAGTTTCGACTAGGCGCTGTCAGTTGAGCGATTTGTGATGTCATTTTCTCAATGCTCCCCTCGCTCTCGTTCCTGACACTAGATGGCGCTAGTTGACTTATTCATGCAACACTGCCCCCTCCTAAGACATGCTCGTCCCGAGCATTATCGGTCCCATAATAACGCGCCAAGCGATCCACATGGACGATCTTAGGAGTCCCTCTTGCGCCTTTCTGTATCCGGTAGGTCACATCGTTGATCCTGGTTACAATCCGGTACGGGCCGTCCCATTTAGCTTGAAGCTTAGGAGATTTCCCTTTGCTGCGGACTGGATTGTGCAACCACACAAGTGAACCTTCGTCGAACCCTTTGTTGTTCATTTTGCGGTCGTACCGGGTTTTCATTTTCTCAGACATTTGCTGGCCCGATTGTCTGACGTGCTCATAAATGTCATTCATTTTGTTCCGCAAGTCATTTGCATAATCGGTTATACTGCGTGGGGCATCAGGTGGTATCCCGGTGATCAGGTCCGCAGGCAGCCGTAATTCTCTTCCAAAGTTTGCGAAAGCTGGTGTCACTGCTGTACTTTCGTGAACAGAACTTCGATATGACAACAAAAACGGTTGTATGTGCTTGTCCCAATCTCGTTGCCGATTGTCTACAACTTTTGCTAGGTACCTCTCCAATGTCTGATTAAATCGTTCCACCATTCCATCAGATTGCGGGTGATAAGAAGTCGTTCTTGTTTTATGAGTACCCATAACTCGGCAAGTTTCCTGGAATATTTGAGACTCAAAATTCCTTCCTTGATCGCTGTGAATCTCTAAAGGTACTCCAAAACGACAGAAGACTTCATGAACTAGTTTATCTGCAACTGTTGAAGCTTCTTGATTTGGAATGGCGAAGACTTCTGGCCACTTAGTGAAGTAATCCATCACAACCATGAAATACTTGTTACCGCTTTCACTCTCCGGAAACGGCCCCGCCACGTCAATGGCTATTCTCTCCCATGGTGCACCCACATTGTACAACTTCAATGCACCTCTACTACGAGTCTGAGGTCCCTTTACAGCCGCACAACTTGTACATTTGCGACACCAGTCCTCGACATCGTTTCGACAGTGGACCCAGTAAAACCGTTCTGGGATCTTCAGTAGAGTTCGTTTAACTCCCAGATGGCCTCCTGAATAATCATTATGGTACAGCTGTAGAACATCCGGTACTTTACTTTAGGGACAACCATTTGCAAATGACAGCTGTCTCCCCGAACATTTTCCCATTTACGGCACAGTACTCCATCCTGAAGCAGCAAGCTGTCCCACTGGGCCCAATAGCTTTTAGTGGTTGAACTCATTGCTGAGACGTCGCTCCACTTAGGCTTGGGAGCACTGGCCCTTATCCATTCCAGAATCGGCTTGATGTCCGGATCTTCCTGCTGTGCATGTTGTAAGCTGTTCTTCCATTCGTTGCTGAGGTGGTCCGTCCTGAGCATCCTCACGGATACCTCTTCCTTACTCTCTTGCCTAGTACAATGGTTGCAATCTTCAGGACAAGGTCTTCTTGACAATGCATCTGCGTTGCCGTGAGATTTTCCGCTGCGATGTTCGATCTCAAAGTCGTATTCCTGCAGTAGTTCAATCCACCTCGCAACTTGTCCTTCTGGATTTTTAAACTGCAATAGCCATTTTAGTGCAGCATGGTCAGTTCGTAAGTGAAACTTTCGTCCCAGAAGATATTTGCTAAAATGCTGCAACGACTTTACCACAGCGAGCAATTCGCGTCTTGTGACACAATAGTTCCTTTCCGGTTTTGACAACGACTTGCTGAAGTACGCTATTACGACCTCTTGGTCACCATTCCGTTGAGACAACACACCGCCGAGTCCTATATCACTTGCGTCTGTGTCAACTATAAATTCTTTGCTTGCATCAGGGTATCCCAAAATAGGTGTTTTGCACAGACGGTCCTTGAGCTCCTGGA